ATATATTTTTTGACAAGATTTTAACATAAAAGGCTTGATTATCGAGTTATAAAAAGTAAAAGATAAATATAATTGCACCTTATTTTTTGTTAAGTTTGCTTTGCACTTACATCTCTAATTTTTTTTTTCGTATTTTAATTCTCAATCTTATTTCATCTAGTTCTTGATGACAATCATAAAATCCGTTAGGATGAAGATTTGAAAAAAGCAAGATAAACGATAAATACATAAGTTTGACAATATATTTTTCCCACATGAACATAATATTTGGACAAAAATTGTTATCAGGGACGACATGTATTAATTAATTAAAGGTTCAAAATAAAAATGAGATAAAAAAAGTAGGAGATATAAGTCTAAAATTGAACAAGATTTGGGGATCTTCATTTTAATTAAAATGTAGTGTAGTTAAAAAATTTACGGAATACAATTATTAAAGATAAATGAATGGTTGGGTCTAAGTTCTCAAGCTAAAAACGGCTACATTTTAAATCTGGCCCAACCCAAATAGACTAATATAAAGCCCATAATAATCCTATTGAAAACACCAAAAAAGCCAATTTTGACTTTTCAAATTTAAATCTCAAAGAAGCATGGCTAAGGTTTAAACTCGATTTCATCTGGGAGTGGCAATGGGTCAAATTGAACGTTATTTCTTTCGATCTCTATTTTTTAATTCATATTAAGTATTGGTATGTACATCGATTTTGTTGTTTTACTACCAGTTGACGAGGTCGAAATTATTCAATCTAATTCTTTGTATAGATAGTTTCGATTAGGACGAGTCTAATTTGACTTGTGTGGTCTTCTGGCTCATGGGACTCATGAGCTGAGTTGAGCCGCCACACGTCCATTCAATTATTATTTTTTTAAAAAAATTTAAAAATTGAAAAAATCCTCATTTTTTCGAACTTTGGATCGACTACTTTTTACGTAGTTGGGGTTAAAATTGCACAATAACAACATATTAATTCTACAAATTTGTTTAAATGGTCAGAAAAATTAAAATAAACAACACTTACGAACTATGTAGTTAGATCTTGGAAATCTTTAGCTATTAATATGTCCACTTTATCTTGGATTTAGAACACGATGTCTTCTCAAATTTTAAACAATAAAGATGTTTGTACAGCTTTTAAATGTTGTACAATGTACAGATCTCTCACATGATATGGGTCCCCCGATCGCGGGCCCCACCCTCCATGTGAGAGGACTGTAAGGTATGCTGTACAAAAACGTTGTACATGTAGCAAGTTTGATTTTTAAATATATTAATTTCTCTCTGAAATTTGCAATGAATGGTATATATTTCCACAAAGTTTGAAGAGCCACATAAATGACATCTTTCAACCAATTTTTTTATTTACATATGAATCCAAATCGGAATTTTTTAATATGGGCATTAACAAATTGGCTACATTAATGGCCTCCCAAAGAATTTTGAAACAATTCTTTATCATTTCTTATGGTTCCATCTTTCTGAATATCTCTTTCAATCCCATAATTTAAATTATACAAAGAATGACACTGAAAGAGATAATTCACAATTGGAGCCTTTTTACCCAGTAAGTTTGACAACCCTCTCACATGGGGGGTGGGGTAAAAAGGCTCCAAATGTGAATTATCTCTTTCAGTGTCATTCTTTGTATAATTTAAATTATGGCATTGAAAGAGATATTCAGAAAGATGGAACCATAAGAAATGATAAAGAATTGTTTCAAAATTCTTTGGGAGGCCATTAATGTAGCCAACAATTGTGGGCCCCACCCCCCATGTGAGAGGGCTGTCAAAAGGGAAATTATAAAAAATCAGGGGTTTATTCAAAAATCAGGTAATATATTAATACTCTAACCTTAATTTATCACTCTCAACTCCCTCACCTCTCTCTCTCTCTCTCTCTCGCCTCTTCTCCCTTCTCTTCCATCTCTCTGTAAATCTCCCCTCCCCTCTCTTCGACGACGTAGCGCCTTGGTGCTGCTGCAATGAAGAGGAGATGACACAGAAGTAGATCCACCGCGAAGCAAATCCACCGCATCGCCGCACTTTTTCCTTCGTCGTCTTCCCCTCCCATCTCTCTCGCCTCTCGTCTTCACCTCCCCTCTCTCTATCCTCTCTTTCTCTATGAATGGTGCGACGCTGTCGTGAATGGCAGTGTCGCAACAGCAGCGTTGCGATGCTCGACGCCGTGTCGACTGATGCAGCGGTAGAGTCGCGACGCTTGACAACTGATGCAGGGTGGATCTGGAGGTGGGAGTGGTGTGGTGTGGTGTGTGGTGTTTTGTGTGGTGGAGGCGATGGTTGTGAATGTGATTTTGTAGTCAAAATGGTGATTTTGTTGGTGAGGAGGAGGTGGTGTGTTGTTATTGTTGGTGGTGGTTAGTGACGGTGGCGGTGGCTGGTGGTGGAAGTGATAGTGCCAGTGGTCTGTGACCAAGTATTTGGTTATCTGTGATCAAGTATTTAACTTTGATCTAAAAATTTGACAATATGTG